CTAAAGACACAGCAGAAGCCCCACAAAATTCGTCGCTAGCCTGTGGCTCTTCCCTTCAGTCTATCCTTTCCCACCTTCAGCCCAAGCTAAGCTGCCCTTGCTTTATGGGTGGTTCACAAAGTGGCTCTCCTCGTACAGCTTCTGCGCTGCTGTGGCTCGATCTCCTCAGCTTCTCAAATCAGTGCCCTTAGGAAGACATGTTGGGTCGGGGTCCCTTTCGACAATGTTGCAAGGCTTGTTTTCGAAGATGCCCAGTTGAGTATCGATATGCTTCATGGTTGTGGTAGAGCGGCTCAATGAAAGTTGTGAAGATTGCTGCGGCGCCCACGAGGAATATGTCAGCCACGTTACTGTTTGAAACTTCAGTTTGCACCATAATACGTACATTATCGGTTGAACCAATGTGTGTGGTTTAGGCCCAGGTGTTGCTGGGCCTGCGAATCCAAGAGGTCACGTTTGTCCCAGTTCCATGAGATCCTCCAGGGTGGTTCTTAATCCGAGACCATGTAGTACTTACTCTTTGATTCAATCACGGATTAGGGTTGAGGGGCTTAGGGCTGGCCACCTGCAACAAAGCCACATGCTGCTCACCACCGTTCTGCGCAAACTTCCTCTTGTTGTGCCTTGGCATGTGCACATGCAATTTGACGATCCGTTTAGGATTTTGAGGTTCCAGGATCTCGGGGAAATCTGTGTAAATGCGACTGCACGTTGAAACACAACTACGGAACCATGCCCCTGGGGGACAAGGTGCAGAAAGAGGTGGTTCTCTGATTCGCTGACATCCTTCTTGGGATTCCTTGAAGAGAGTTTCCAAAGCCCTTCCCTTTCAGCAGTTGGACCCTGAGGGTATTAGGGAAACAATTGATCCCTCACCGTGAAGTCCGACTTAATAAGTCAGAGTGCGCGGAGTCCGCTGAAGCCGATGCCATCTGCAAGCTCCTTGAACAGCTTAGGTCTCAGGAGTCTAGGGTCAAAATCTTAGGAAATGGGCCTTAGGCCTTCGGGCTTTACAGGCTTGGGGTTTGGGGCTTTGGATTTGAAGTCTAGGTGTACTGAGTCCTGCTCACCTGCTGAACCAAGCCTGGTCCTGAAAGAAAGCACACGGATCGGAAACAAAATCATCTTGCTCTGTATGGGCGGGCGATCATTTGAATGATTCTGGTTTCACCAAGGATGATATTCTAGCACTGACATTGATAGTAGACTACGTACTTAGGGAACATTGGGGAACCTCAAACCACTGTCTGGCTTTCGTCACGCGGTTCGGCAAGAAGGGCCTTCAGCCTTGAGGCATAAAACAGAAGTCCGAAACGTGACGGAGTGTCGTCGAACCCCCCCTTGGCACTCTCGTGTCGGACTGCTCTCTGCGGACATGATCTTGGGCTGGACAGTCGGCTTACAAGCGATGACTATGGCAATCCAAAATTCTGGAATCAAGCTTTGTGAGGCTCGCGACCGGAGAAAGGGCAAGAATCTCCGCATGGCCTTGCCCATTCGCATAAGAAACCCTGCTCAGCCTTCCAAAGTCCTCTTTTGTACCTTTGACCTGTCGATCACCCAAGGAGCAAATTGAAGTCGGAGAAGCTCTTAAACAGCTTCGGCGTTTGTGGCCTGAGGGGGCTCAAACGGTTTTTCTGGGGGTTGGGGCAAAAAGTTTAACACCTTGGGGTTGGGATTTACTGTGGTATGCACAGGATCTAGGACAGCATCTTGAAAGATTCCACGGTACGTGGCCAGTTTGGAAGTGTGCTTAGGGCCTATATGAAGCATCCTGTATCCAGACCCTTAAGCCTTACTTACTTACATATCTTGCCATCGACCTTGCCTATGGGATACGACATGGGCTTTCCGCGTGGGGTGCAGCTTGCCCTGTATGTAAGATCCCTGGGGATGGGGAGGGGCTCAGCTAGAACCATTTCATGCCATACAGCGAGCACATCTTGAATAATCCGGAACTGCGTAGGTTCAGATAACTTGCGCGCGCTACAATCCTATTTTGCCAGGTATACCCAGATCGTAACAAAGAACAGCTACTGCATGAGAAGGGGAATGTCAGAATCAGTGGGCAGTAAACGCTGCACAAGCAGGCATTTTTTGCCGAACACAGCTGCTTGTTTCTCAGAGAAGCTGCCGCCACTCCAAAATGATAGAACTGCATAGGCGCCATGTGAGTCGACCACATGGTTTAGGGCTGGCTTCCAAGATGTAGATTCTGGCAAAGAAACCAAATTCATTTTGGTTTCAACACGCACCAAACCTGGCTGGTTTCCGTCAATACCTTGCTGAAAATGACTCGGAGCCCCTGCATCCATCATGACATAAGGGTGGCAACGAGTTCTGATAGCGGACGCGAACATGTAACATGTCAGTCCGGGACCGGTTGTACGGCGATCAACACAGGATGAGACGGGCGTTGCTTGCGCACTACACACCTGCTTCCATGCAGTCCGCGATGCTGCGAGAAAATGCTTTCGGGAGCTATTCCTAATTTGGGGGCAGAAATGTCTTTGAACGCTTACTCACCGCGGAACGCGATGCACCACAATAATCTCCGTCTTCTGCAGCTTTCTTGCTTGAACTGTCATCGAAAATACAGGACCCACGCCTTCTGAACATGCGAAGGCCCAGGTAAATCCAAAGCTTCAAGCCTTCCAAAGCGTTCAGCAGGAAACCGAATGTTGGCCAGGGTCTCAATAAAGCGCATCATCTATCTGAGAAAAGACAAGATGCGTAAAGGTGGTGGACTGCACCTCGCTGGCTTAAGGGCTTGTGCTGGGGGTGTTCCTGCGTTGGGGATGTTGGGGCGTGGGATAGGATTTGGCTTCTGGAGCTTAGGCTTCCTGATTAGCGCTTACTGTTTCGAATCACGCGAAGCGGTCCCTGAGGGTAAATCCCAAGCAGCTACCTGCCATGATGACGTGCGAAAGGCACCCATGGTCACATCCCCTGGTCCTTTCCAGCCCTATAGCGCTCAACCCAGAACCTCAAATCAAACACCGTTTGCACTACTCACACAGGAAAGCAATCTGTGGCGCCGAGGGCCCAGACCCCACACGAATCATGAGCATTTATGTTCTTCAACCATGTCAATGCCCAAGATCACGGGCAGAATGCTCAGAAGATCCTTGTTGCGACCCAGCATCGGGAGGAGGCAACGGTGGCATTGGAGGCGAAACCTGCCGCACCCTCTCATGGCTGCCCTTCGTCGCCCTGGGATGAAGGAGTCTTTGAGCGGCTTTTGTGCCCCAGTGCAGGCGACGTGTTGGACGTGAGCAGAACTGAGTCTGAACACTTCGGACGCTACCGGAGCTTCAACCCGAAACACTCGTCAGGCTCCACCCGGCGAAGCCACGGAAAACAAAATCACCTCATAGAATCGCCACTGAATCCATTTTCGAACCAGGCCCTGTTCGCGATCACCCAAAAACACCTATAACAACCCAAGGTCCAAAAGCCACCCGAAGCCCTGCGTCGAAGCCTTGCGACCTGCTTAACATTCCTGTCGTATGGCTCCTGGGGCCGGTGTTGTCGTCGGCGTTCTCGTCATTGTCACTGTGGCAGTGACAGCGGCAGTGCCAGTGGTTTTGAGAGTGGCAGCAGTGGTGGCGGCGGTTATCGTGGCCGTTGGTTGTAAAACTACGAGCAGCATTAGCAACAAGAATGATCGTTCTAACTACACAGGACATCCTCTGCAGCCTGAAATTACACCATGGAGACAGTCATCCTCTGATTTGGCAACTTATGAAATTGCCGTCTCCTGAATACCCTGACATGATCCACGCCTTAACGTAAACACATCCTAGAAAAACGCACCTGAGTGTTTAAAACCTCTCCCCCAACCCTAAACCATAAATTCCAGACCCTCAAACCATGACCCCTGGAAACCATGCACGTAATGTCTTGTGTTCGGCAGCGATGCCCGCTTTCGCGCCCAGCACGGCGGGACAGCGAACTGCTTTCTTTGTGCACTGGTTTCCTGGGTTGTACGACTTGGCTTTCCAAAAATCAGTTTGTACAGATGAAAGATTTTTGGGAACTAGCAGGGGATGACAGGTGGCCGTTCCAAGGACTATCGGGTTTTGAAGCAGCCTACATCACAGGCTTACGACGTTTGTTCATAATGGTTTTTGCTGGGGCTGGGCTTCATTCGTGTATTAGCAGCTGATGTAAATTCTGGCAGCCTGCAACTGCTGACCTTAGCCTCCAGCGCATTTGGCACAGAAGGTGTGGGCTGCCCTTTGCTTCCGTTTCTGCTCATGGCGATGCAGGAGCCAATGCAAGAGACGCTCGCGGTCCTGGCAGGGCCTCATCTGTGGCAACTTCCAGGTGCTGAGCAAGCAAGGCAACGCAGGCAGCAACTTCATCATGCTGCGTGTGGTCGTAGCGGGCCGCGCGCTGATGAAGCTCCAGTTTTGGAGCGTCGTGGAGGTCTTGTCCCCAAGTTTTGAGGCACGCTCAGAGGACACGAACTCTTGGAGCCAGGAACTTCTTCCAGAAGCTCTGCCGGATGCACTCGACCTCGTCCACAAGAAGAGTTGAGCGAGTACTCGTTGCCGGTCCGTGTGCCCTGAGTGAATGAGTGAATGTACTCAGACTCCAGCAAGAAATGCGGATTCGGCAATGTGAACAGTTCCTGTGTACCAAAGTCGGGCGTCAACGCGCCGAAGCTGTTGGTAACTCCTCTCTTCGCGAGCCTGTTTGATGTATGTATGTAAAATGCGATGCCAATGCATCTTGCCCAGTGCGAGCCTCTTCCCTGGGTTGACGGGAAGCCCTGATGAAAGGTTGAACTCAATAAATGAATCCAAATTGAATCTTACTGCTGGGTACCAAGTTTGGCTCTCTACTCTAAAGCACGCGCTCAACACTACGAGCAGGCTTCCTACGAAATAAATACCGTACCCGATGGAAGTCACATAAGACAAGCCATTCTAATCCTGCACACACGAATACGTTGTGAAAAACGTCCTGGTGGGTCAAGATCACCTCTGACTGACCTCAAACTCCAAAGCTGCTGCCCCAGGCTCAGCAGAAGTTGCCTGAGCAGCTCATCCTGTTGATCGAACCTCATCACACAATGCAACAAAAGCAATTTCAAGCACGAATGCATCATAGGTTTTCTGGAGTATCAGTACTATACAAGATTGCTGGCAATGAGGCTTCTAGACGTGCTTCAGCTAGGCCAATCAAGCATACCCACCAATTGGTTCTGCGCATCAAAGAGAAAAAATAACGGAAGATGGATGTGGTTTGCGTCAACTCTGACTGCTTCAAGGTACGTCCCACGCACCGTGCATTCCTCAGAATTCTTGGATGCCAAACCCGCGCGCCAAATATTTGACTCCGAATACTGCAGGGCTCCTGAACCCAGTCTGACTGTCAGCTGCTCCCTGATGCCTCCGGATTCAAAAGATTCCACGTCTTGGCACTTGTATGCAGAATCCCTCAAAAATGTGTACCAGCTCAGCTTTCTAGATCCTGTGTTTGCGGCTTGAGTAGGCTATATTGAGTCTTACTCCCCACGCCTACAACCCCGTAATCAAGGAAATGCGCGCCCTCAAATACCAAAACACGACCCCAGACTATAAGCCTCATACCCGAAACCCCGAAGAGCGACCTTCCCTGCAGCACTTTGTGATGACGCTCCAGAAGAGCTGCGAGGCCCACGTCAGCCTGCACCTCTCGGCGCGAATATATTGGAGATTGGATCGAGTGTGTTGTATGAATTCAGGGTTCAAGATCGCGATAGGATTTGGCCCCCGCAAAAGCCCTGTAATCCGGAGTGGTGTCCCACGCGTCCTGTCATTGCTTGGGTACGCCTGCCAAGCTAGATCCATGTTACACAGATGCCCGGACATCCTTACCAGCAAGCCCGAGCCCCTGAAACCAGCGCGTTTAGGGCCTCCCAAGCATCGCAAGCATCAGGTTCGGGACTCTCACCATTCCACAAGTGGCCAGGGCGAACAGGCCTCGGGTAAGCGATCTCCTTGCTGAACCACTTTAAAGATGTCTTGCTAGGAGTATCAATGTGACTATCGGTCTTGTCTGAAGTACTATCATTCTGTTCGTCGTTGAAGCTGGCATTCCTTTCATCTTAGTGTCAGCAATCGCACTACCATTAGCATTGAAATTCATGTAACATCTAGTGAAACTTGGTTCTAGACCCTTTGAAAACAAATTAGAACCTGACTAAACGCAAGTGAACGCCAATTGAAATCAATTGGAAATATAATTCAAATCACTGAAAACCTAATTGCAGATCTAATCAGACTCAGTTTAGGAAATAATCAAAATAAATTGCAAATACTTAAAATCAGTGAATATTCAAACAAAAACAAATGAAACCAACTTGAGCTAAATTTAGCACCTATTTACAGCCAATCAAAACCTGGTTGGACCCAATTGAAATCCACGTAAACTGAATGTACAAGTCAATGAAAGTCAATGGAAATCTAGGCAAAACCGATTTGACAAAGCGGAGCACTCTATGCAAAGCGAAGCGGACTGCAAACTCTCTTTTCTCTGCTATTGCAAGGATCAGTAGGTAAAGGCTACAAGGGGCCCCTGAACCAACCACACGGCCACAGCAAACGAAGAGCAATGCTGAGGTCAAGCTGTGCCGGGCGCATGCCAATTTACAGCACCCTCAAAATTCTGTTGACCTCAGCGGCAGAAAACATCTAGCGGCGCTTAACACGCCCTTCTGCCCTCAAAACAGCTCTCTCGTCCAGCAGCCCTGCTTCCGCCACGATCCGGTAATAGCCGGAGTCCAGCAACTTGTACAACGGAGTGGGATTTCCATGGACCTTCGCGAGGGCGTCCACCACCAGCGATTGATGCTCAACCCATCGAACCTGGACGCCAAGGCCATCAGCTCTTTCTCTCACAATGGCCACTTCCAGCGCTGTGTACTTGTCTTGTGCGATGGCCCCTTCCTTTGTCACGTTGGCTCCAGCCGAGGCGTCAGGCCTCCCTTCTTTGGCGCACCACGCCAATGAGCCAATTGCCGCTCTGACCCTCTTGACTTCCTCCTGCCCGTGTTGTTGCCGAGCGCCACCTTGTTCAGGACAGACTTCGAGACGTAGAAGTCGGTGTAGCCGGGCTTTAGGCTTCTCCAATCGTCTTCCAAGACATCATGGTCGCCATCCTTGAAAAACAGAACAGCAGTCTTTCTGTGAGAGGACATGGGAGATCGAGAAGACAGAGGCCTAGGGGCAAGCTCTAAAGAACACGGCATTGGGTGCCAGGAACTCGCCGTGGCTGAAGTCGCCGATGTCGAAGGTTCGGAGGGAGCTGCAACCACTGGCCCGTCACGGACTGGTAGTGCGCCCATTGAAGCACGCACCAAAGCTTGCCCAAGAGTGCGCGCCAATGCGCGCGTGCGCGTGGAGGGTTCTGACCTGGAGTGCTCACAACCCATGGCTGCTCTCGTTGAGCACGCGATGCCTGAGCACCTAACATCTGAACCACCGGTAAACGCGGCCAAGGTCGCTTGAGCACGCACTCTCTGGGACATGACCTTTGCAAATCTCTGGGAGAAACCATCCGGGACCAAAGTCAAGAACACTGACGGTAGGATGACCAGACGGGAGGACATTCATGACGCAGTCGGTGTTAATTGCTAAGGTGTGGACGATTTTCCCCAAGATCAACGCTTGCCTTGAGAGCGCGTAAAAGATTCACCGGAAGAAGGAAAGGAACGTCCTCGGCCACCACCGTTAACGCCACAACTCCCGGAACCTGACCGATGCCCACGGGAACTTCCACGACTCCCAGCGTCTTCGCTACACCACCGATGCCTTCTAGCTTCTGAAGCCTCGCCTGTCCACCGCCCTTTCAGCCCAAATTTCCTGAGAGCCTCAAAGAGACGAAGCAGAGCAGGACGCCCAATGAGACCTTCTTGCGCAGCTGTGTCTACAATGGCTTCTGCACTTGACGTTATCACACCCACAAACGGCACAGCGCTGCTATGGTCTGAGGTCAGAAAGGACGACTTTGCTTCGAGGCCACTCTCGGTGAAAAACTCCGTCACAGGACCTGCCTTTGCACCGGCCCAATACAAGGACGCGCCATGCGATGACGTGGTATAGAAGGAGCCGCCGACGAACTTGCCGAAGAGCTCGGTTGGCGGGAAGCAGCGTTGGCAGGGCATTCTTTCGACCAATGTCCGATCCTACCACAGGACCGGCATCTTGCGCGGAGCTTCAACTCCTGTATGGTGATTCCCTTGTTCTTGCCCTGCTTTCCTCCCCCTTTGCCCTTTCCGTGAGGAACCGGTCCGAAAGAGCTTCCTTTGCCTTGACCCTTCTTGCCGGAGGATAAAGTCCACGGGCGTTACGGTTTTGCCGCAGGGCGCTTTGAACATCCTGATAGCTCGCCAGGATATCGATGAGGTCATCTTCCTCGATGACCTCGCCGTTTTCCGTCGAGGCGCCCTCAAGCTCTGGCTCGAAAGTGGGAAAGTAGTCTTCGCCCTCTTCCTCTTCTGGCCATTCCGACTCTTCGTCGTAGCCAAGCTTTTCAAAGAAGGTTCCGCGCTTGCTCTCCACGGCGACCCTGTCGAGCTTCCTGAGGTTCAAGAGGACAGCATCGAGGGAAAAGTCGCCTTGGAGCCGGGTGGTCAGCTCAGCCTCCGACTCCTTGTCCAGGTTGGCCTGCCTGTAGAGAAGGTAGCCGGACGCCTTGGTGGGAAGGTCCACTCCTTCGGCCTTGAGCACAGACTGCGCCTGCTGAAACTGACGATATACTCCGGCATGCTTTCCTTGTGCGAGCGGGCAGCGCCAAAGAATGCAGACTCCATCGCCCTCGGTAAAGCCTTCTCCTGGTATGGTGCGAAGGCCTCCTTGAGCACCTTGATGACCTTCTTCAAGCCATCCTCCGCAACCAGGTCGCCTACAGAAAGGCTTTGAACCGCCTCCTTCGCAGGACCACTGAGCGCCTGCACACACTTGATGCCCCTTTTTCCTTTGGGAAGATCTGTCACTGCCTCCCAAAGCTCAAGGTCACGAAGAAAGGGCTTCCGGGTGATCTCGCGCTTCTCTCAGCTCCATCCTGGAGGAGGGTCACGGTCTCGAAATGGAGGTTGTCCTTCTTCCGCCATACCGCCCCAGGTCCACGTAGAAAAGCTTCTGTTCGAAGACGCTCCGGTGGATCGGGCAGTAACTCCTGAACAACTACTGGTAGAGCTCTGGCCGCCTGACCTGGTCAAAGACGAAAAAAACGCACAGGCCGAAGAAGGAGCCGCTGATCGGGCAGTAGGCAATGAACACGGCTGCCGCTCGCCAGCTCTTGGTGACCTGGATCGTGACACGGTGTCCTCTTCGCTCCCAGCTTCACCGCCAAAGTGCTTCGGATGAAGTCCTCCTTGAAGGGGGGCTCCAAGCTCCGAAGTATAGAGCCAGTGAGGTCGTTGTACTCCTTTTCTGACTCCCAACCACGCTTGGCCGCGTGAGCTCGCCGCGTCACAGAGGCTTGTGCGTGGCGATCTTCAGGGTCTGGCTGACCCTCCTTGAGCTGCCTGCGAAGTGCCTGCTCGCCCGCAGACAACGCGCCCAAGCGAAGCAGCCTGGCGGCCCAATCGGACGCCGTGCCGCAAAGCCAAGGCTCCGGTGCCAACTGACAAAGCGGAGCACTCTATGCAAAGCGAAGCAGACTGCAAACTCTCTTTTCTCTGCTATTGCAAGGATCAGTAGGTAAAGGTTACAAGGGGCCCCTGAACCACACGGCCACAGCAAACGAAGAGCAATGCTGAGGTCAAGCTGTGCAGGGCGCATGCCAATTTACAGATTAAATCCAATTCAGATCTAATTACAACAGTTGAAGCATCAGCCAGCTGATATCTAAAGTCCAGTTCTGATCCCGTGAAATTCTAGCTAAGATCAATTAGAGTCTAAATGAAATCAACTGAAACCCTCATCTAAATCACTTCATATCTAGTTAAGTCAAATCAACTGAACCCAAATGAACCTATCCAAAACCAGATAGAAGCACGTGACAACTCATTGAAATCATTAAATTAAAGACTGAATAAGAGAAAAATTGAAATCAAAGCAGAAGTATTTCCAATCCGTTTAGAGACGAGTGGAAGTCTAAACAACAGAAGTTCAAGTTAAACACAAATAATGTCAGTCGACAATCTAGTTACAACCAATCGGAGATCTAATTCGAATTCATCGCAAATCATATAAGGATCAAATGAATCTAATTCGAGTCCATCTGAAATGAAAAATAAATCCATTGACATCGGTGTTTCCTAGTCAAGATAGTCAAGATATAGGTCAAGAAAATTGCTTTTATTCCCCGCCGCCCCCCAATCCCCCGAAAAAAAAAAAAAATAAAGCAAATCCAGGCCCCTGCTGCACCAGCCCCTTCAAGAATGGACGGCTCGAATGGAGCTGGGGGTCTCTTAGTTTCTGGATTTGGCGTATCTGATATCCGGCCTTAATTTACTGTTCTTTATTGCGAAGGCGGTGGTAATAATGAAATTTCCTGGGTCAGAGAAAATCTCCAACATATGGTATTCTTATGTTTTCTTAACATGGCCTATCTGTATGTTGGGCGCTCAGGGGTTGATTTATGCAAAATGAAATTGCCTGGACCCCAAACCACCAAAATCATGATTCTCAAATTGAAATCCAATTATAATCCTCTCCTGCACCTCCTTCCCCTACTCCTCATCTTACGCTTCTTCCTCCTATGTCTACTGATCGTACCACTACTCGTCTCGGGTCTCCGGTAAGGCCTGAGGCTCAAGGCTTCTTAGTTTGAAAGGTATCCTGGTGAAAACTGAAGCGGCTGGAAACGTTTCTATTATACCGACCTCTCAGAACAATTGCTTAAAGTGGGCTCTCGTAGTTTCTGCATTCCAGCGTATCTGATATCTGGCCTTATAGGTAAAGGCTCTTGTGCTAGAGCTCCGGAATTTACCTGAGGCTCAAGGCATTTTAGCTTTAAACATATCTTGGTCTAACAGGGAAAAGAATTAGTCCCAGAAAGCGCCTGCAAGCCGCTTCTGTTGGTCAGGAGTTTGGCATTTTGACTTTGGGCCCCAAAACTTTTCATTATTCCGACCCCCTAAAACAATAGCTGATTCGGAATAATTTCCCCGATGCTTTTGTTCATTGCACCCCCCCCTGCAAAAGCTATCCAACATTACTTGCCTCCGTGAGCCCAGGTCAAGTTTCGCAGAAGCTGTAGCCCAAAAAGCACGATCGCCAATTCTTGGCAAGGACAATCCTTCCGGGATCTAGGCAACACCGAGATTTATCCCTCAATCTTTTTGAGCAGATGCCAAGAGGCAAGGCTTTCCGCAAGTCTTCTACCTCCTCCTGGCAGAACGGTAGAAGCGAAAGGGAAGGTTTCCAACATGGAGACAGTGGCGAGCATTTAGGAATTGAGATTCGCGATCGGCCACGTGATTTGCCCCAGCTATTTCACTTTGCGGACATGATTACATCCAAAGGCATTTCTTGAGGGTACAAGATTTTTCATCCTGAGACAAGCCAAGCCTGTTGCCATCGATGCAGGCGTCTCTTAAAAGATTTGTGGTCGTCATGGTTGACTTCCGAACTTCCGTGAGGAGTTAAGCTTACCAGAGCAAACTTGCTGGAAGATCAGTTCGCCGTTCAAGGCTCATAGAAACGTCTTGTCAGAATTGGGCCGTCCGACAACTGCAGCATAGTCTCTCTTGGAATGGACCGTCGAAGAAGAAGAAGCTGACTGATGGACGCGAGGCGAGAAGTCCAACTAGCTATTGATTCCTCAAGCCTTGCCTGCGCGCCACGCCAAACGAAATCCCATCTCTCCAGCCCCTTGCCCATGGATGACCTGAAGAGATAAGAAACCGAAGAAGCACAAGAAACAGCAAACATTACAACATGACAGGAACCCTGACAAACAGCTTCCTCGCAACCGCAACCAAATCACCACGCAAACCGGCCGGACCTTAAATCCCGCAACCTCAAACTCCCCCAAATCCCACAAAACATACCTAGATCACAAACCCTAGACCCGAAATACCGGAAACATCGAGAACAAAAAAAAAAAAAACTGACCTCGGCAAAGCTGTCGGGCTCGGAGCCCGGATCTTCGGCATGCTTGGCCGGCTGGAGCCCTTCGAAGTTTTTAGGTACCTGCAAACAAAGGGAATGGCGGGAAGTGTGGTTTAGACTTTCATTACTTACAGCCTTTTCTCGACCAGGTGAGACAAGCTAAGGATCCTAAGCCTAAGAAGCGCACTTCGACGCACTCTTGTCACTGCAATGCGTCTCGTGCCCACGAAAGCATCTACACATATCCCTTCAACCGTCGACTACTCATGAAGAACAGACTGTTCATCCCGATCAGCTTGACTTCCCAAATGAGCATCGCGATGCTGCGCTGAGGGCTTCAAGGTTAGGCTTCTTTTGGGTGTGCTTGATTCAGGGATTATGACAGGGGCCGCAACAGCAGTTGGGCAGGGTGTAGCGGTGTTTGGCCCTACAAGTATACCTGTGCATTTTGGGGGGGTCGAGGTTTTGGAGGCTAAGTACGATTTGGGACGCAGGCTTTAAGGAATCAATCCACCAGCGCTTAGGGATTTGTCGGGTAGGGGTGCAGATATTGAGATGATGGCTTGAGGTCTGGGTTACAAGCCTGTGCACTGTGGAAATAGCCAGCTTCTGGTGAACTCTCCACTAACCTACCTAGTTGCTAGTCTGACACGGCTGAAACTTTGTTTCACGGCCTCGCCGTTTGTTGGTTGCGGCTCTGAGGCAGCCATGGCGTTGGCACCGCAGCGCTGGACTTGGGACGTATGCCTTCAATTCCTATTGGTCACCATCCTCGTGTTCACCTATCTTGCATATGCTGAAGATTGTGCGTGTGTACTTGCCAGCTACATTCGTGTCGCGTCTAGAGTCCATGCGTAGCACCTAGTTCAGGCAGGAAGCTTCTGTCGGGTCTGGCATCAGCACTCACCATCGAAAGCGCACACTCCAAGCTCTAAACCGTCTAGCAAAACCCTCAACAAGCTTGTGGAAATCTAATTTGAGCCAATGCTACCGGTGGCACAGCCAGGGTCTGAAGGTTCGGTGACTCAACTTAGGATTCGGGATTCCGAATCGGGTCCTCACATTGAAACGATGATAAATCCATGCCTAGGTAGTGCCTCAGATATCGCTGGTTGCTCTTAGTTTCCTTCATATGGTAGCCCTCACATCTTTGTAAAGAGTTGTTTCGGCCTGAACGCATGATCCCATAAGCTGAGAAAACTGGTGGTTGGCTGTAAGCACCCCTTACTCCAGCTCATGATGAGGCCTTTCTGCTCCAGTACTGTGTCAACTCAACCTTAACCCGCTTATCCCCATATTCACCAAACCCAAAGTCAGCAGACGCTGAATCAAGACGGTCTAAATCCCGTCCACCCGCAAGCCCTCACAGCATGCGTTTGACTCGAAACAAGGCCCTCCTTGACCAGGTAGTGCGTGATGCCCGCTGGGATAAAGGAAAGGCAAAAGGTGATGTAGATCGAAAGCCTGAAGACCTCGGAAGGGCGCCAAACAGCAACATCAAAGTTCTGCTATCACCCGTCATGGTTGCAGTTGTCACTACAAAGCAGGAGGAGGAGCCGTAGTGCCAACCATGGCGAACATCATCCGGCTCGTAGCTTGCAATTCGTGCAAGTTTGGGAACGGTGACTTTTGTCAAGCCTGCTCCGTGGCCCGCATTCACATCTGGCTTTCTGCTCTACATGAGCTGTATGCATACGTTCAAATGGAAAAACAGACGATGCTGCGCACTGGTCATCAATGGGAGTAGCCTTGTGTTTAGTGGGCTGACAGTGCCAGGACCTTAGGCGTACCGCATACGTCCCTTTCAGGTAGGCTACTTGAAGCCTGGGAATCTAAGGATTGCACAACCTTGACTTGAGTTTGTTGGCTTTCCTGTTTCCAAGTTAGGGTTGCAGAGCTTGGGGCTTGAGGCTTGAAACCTGCATCTGAGCAATGCCTTTTGTTACCAAGTGTCAACTACTTGCCATACTGCGCTTCAAAAGGCTGTCACGTAAACACACAAAAGATGTTGCAAATCATTTGCCCTACGGCCCGAAACATAGGGAGAGATCCCAGGCCCCAGAACCTCATCCACAGATCTTAAGTCCTGAAGAGCTTGAGCCCCTAGACGGCCCTTCAGGAATACTGCGACCCCCTTTCCCAACCTACTTTGCAACCCTGGCAAATATGGAAAACTTGGTTATCTCTTCTTTGGATGCTATTCATATCGGCGTAGCCCCCAATCAGCGCCAGACGAGCACTCTCAGCGATCTTCAACAATCAAAACGAGCAGGCCTTTGTCTCCCTGAAAGACAAGGCCCCTGCTGCAAACCGCTCAAGGGTGACCTGCTCCTCCTGGCAACACTGACAACGAAATGGAACGTGGCATCAGTATCCTCATATGTCCCAGCCGGGACGCCAAGGTATACGTGAAGGCCAGCAAAGACTGCAGGGGTCAACCCTGGAGATTGGTTTTGTGAAAACATGCAGAGAACCTGCCATACAGTGAACACACGAAGATGCTGAGCTAAGGCTTGAAAACTGGCCTTGAGTAATTATGGGAATTGGACTTGATTGACTGCAGGCTTTTTGATGCACCTGACTAGAGAGGGACCCTTACTGACAGCATCTGCTGGGTGTTGAGGGTAAAGACTCTTCAGGATGTGGAGTTCTCAGATTGGCAGTTTGAGTCGTTGAGAGTTGGCATGTCAAGGATGTTGGGGTGTTGTGCCTTCCAAGATCTTCCAAGAGTCTGGGGTATAGGAATTGGGTTTGACAAAGCTCCAGCGATGGGTCTTCAGGGTGCAGCTTTGTGGCCTCAAGTTTGAAACGTGAACAAGCTTGAAGATGAAGTTGTAACGGGAACAGCTACTGCTGCGAAGAAGACGTTTTGACCTCTCTGTGACAAACCGAGCACAGCTCTGATAAGTACATCTCGGCTAGTACTCCCAAAAAAACACGACCGCGCTGCCGCACCTTCGTCTGGGGGAAAAGGTGGACGGTCACGGACACAGTCCTTACTTCCAGCTCCAGCTGCGCCAAGATGCCTATGTGTGTTCTTAGATACACTTGCCAATAGTTGTCGTGCAGACTGGAAGCATGAACCATGAACACAATTAAGTCTCCAAAGGGTGGCTGTCGTTAAATCTCATTGCGCCGAAGCCTGCAGCCTCCGCTTAAGGCCACCTAAAGGAGACCTACGGCTTTGAAAGCCCAGCTGTTTTTGAAGGTCGGAGCCGTGGTTCTTCAACAGCATATTCAAAGGTAGACCTCGTCTTGAAAAAAAGAAGACTAGCTCATTGACATAAAGCTTCACAGGATTGCCATCAGCCCTTAAGTTGGCATCTGTCTTCTTGGATCCCATCACAGTAGCTTCTGCATTGATTGAGGCAAAGGACCTAGTCATGGGCCACTCACATTGCTTCTGTGTGCACACATCAGACTCTGCTCAAATCCCACAAGCCCACAATCCATCATGCCATGAACACTCAAACCTCACGCATGCCAACGCAACGCCTCTTGACTCTTTGTGTGGCCTTCTGGTCGAGGAATCCTCATGCAAACCCTTACCATTCTGTGAACCCTCTGCAAGTTTCTGTATGGGGTGTTAAAATGTCGGGACGCTTCTTCTTCCCAAGTCTGGCCAGTCGCGAATTGGTAAGGGCAGCCTGCACAGGCGCTAAAGGTGTAGACAATAGTGTTGAGCCCCGTGAGAGAACTATTGTAAAAAGTGTCTGAAGTTGCTTGTTCGGGCTTTGTGAAACAAGCCAGGAATTTTGAAAGGAGGCTCCATTGGTTGGGATGGGCACACAAAGGTGTGATTCAGGGTTTTGTACGGCACGGTCATGGTGTGAAGTGGTTTAAGGACGAACCTTTCATTCAATTTGAAACGCATGGAGCTTTACAAGGTGTACGGAGTGTAATGCTCTGGTTCATAATTCTCTCGCTGTGGATGAAACATGGACGCGAGGCCAAGTGGGCGAAGAAGGATTTCAAGCTGCTTTCATGAGCGGCAAGGCTTGGGGGTTTCAGGGTTTGAGGGTGCCAATTTTCATAGTGTGGAGTATGGCAGCGTCAACATGCAAAAACAAGACCCAAAGCTCTCCATGACAGACTCACTTGCTGGGCTGCTGCGCATTCGCATCTGTTGGTAGCTACCTGCAGGCCTGAGCCTTGTTACTTCAAGCGAGGCTTCGCGCAATCTCAACGCCACCTACCCAAAGGTTGCGTTTTAGGACCACAAATGCCGAGAAGGGCAATCCAGAATATGTAACTTCGGGATCAGACCTTAACTGATCCCCGGAATCCTTCGATGTTCCTTGCGGTTACACCCTGAAACCACAAAGCCACGCATCGAAATCTTGAAGCGTAAGCTCCCTACATTCCGATCCCCCAAAGCCCCCAAACCCGTGTCGCCTGGTACACGGCCGGAGAATGCTTGCTTGTAGTGTTTGCCTTGGAACGGACCAAGGGTCAAACCTTCAGTTTGCAGGGGGTTTAGCACCTGGTGCTGAAACGTCTAAGGCTTCAGATTTTATCCAACATGAAAACCAGTCTCTTGGGCCGATGGGCCGTAGGCAGTCAATGTATGAACCCGAATGCCAAACATAATCTTGCAATTTCAATCATGCCTCCTCAAACTCGCATACCAGCCAAGGCAGGATCCTGAACCCGCAACTCTGGTCCACACGAACATTGGGCTCTTGCCCAAACATTTGACAGGTGAGCAAGCCTCCGCCTTCTGCATGGATCCTGAATCGCCGTTAAACATGCGTGCTTCACCAGACATGCTTCAGCCCAAAATGGGGCAGGGTTCAGACCCCGCAATGCTGCAACCCAACTGCTGGAGTGGGCACCCCGGACTGCACAACAATCCATACCGTGGACTTCAAGTACACTGCAGATGCCCTAAACCCCCAACCGCCGAACCCTGAATACCTAAAGCTAAACCTACATATGACTTCAGCTGCAAACAAGACAACTTTGGACATCAGTCCCGCACGAATACAATGGCATCCGCACCAGCAAGCCACTCGTTTTCGGCCCTGGCCGTTTTTGCTTAGAAGGAGGCTTTGGGGGGGCTGGAGGGATTAGGGTTTCGAGCTGGCCTTGGCAACACAAGCGCAGGGCTTAGGATGTTTTAGGTTTGAGCCTTCAGGGGGGCTGGTGGATTAAGGGCTGCGTGCAGAATGCTTCAATACTGTTTCTTCATTTCAAATATATGCTTGTCAGAGGGAACGGATGGACAGATGAGAAGTTTCCGCACTTGCATACAAGCCTAGCTTGTTGACAGCCTATTTAAGGTGTTCCAAGCGCAGGAACTACCTGACAATTACGGCCCTAAACCTGAAGCCCGAATCTCTCATGAACCAACGAGACCCTGTACCAAAGATTATGAAACCCTAAACTAAACCATGCAACTTCGATGCAGCAACCTAAACCTTACACATCCTGACACCCTACGATGCACCCTGGACCCGACTGCTCCCCACATGACCTTTATGGAGGATTGGTTCCGGTCTCGGTGTCCAAGCATAGCTAGAGAATTGAAGGAAGGAAACTCCCTCCAAGGTACTATCAGATGCTTTCAACGCGAAGCCCCGTAAAGCCCTTATGAAGGCTGAAGTATGTTCCCTCTCTTGTTTTGGAAGCTCTTGCTGCGGGCCTGGGTTTGGCAACAACGTAGAAAGCACCGAACCTGCTGATTCTCAAGGGTATCAGGATTAGGGGA